AAAAGTCTAAACTTGATTTTGTTTTGTTTTATATTCTTTTCATCAATACTTTGTTTCATTCTATGCAGCAAGGACTAATGCCTTTTCCTCCTAGCTTGTATGAAATAGGAGAGCCATCATCTGGAAATGTTAGGGTAAGTTATGAAACATACTCATAGAGAGAGAGAGAAAGAGTGATCATTGTGTCTTTTGTTTACTTCAAAATTTTGAATGCTTCAAAGTTTAATTTTGTTTTGTTTTATAACATTTTCATTAATGCTTTGGTCCAAACTCGTATGAAATAGGAGAGTCATCATCGAGCATGATGAATGTTAGAGTATGTTACGAGACACACATAGAAAGAGAAACTTAGAGCATTATGTCCTCTCACTTACACACACTGACCTATACATCTCTTATATATTTTAAGGATAATTACACTAACCTTTTTAATGGTTAGTTTTAATTACACTTACGCATATCTTAATTGAAAGGTTACATTCACCTCTCCTACACTCTTCTTATGATTTTTAGAAAAATCATTTTTTAATGTTTCTAAAAATATATAATAAGAAACTATGTGGATAAGTTTTTTTAAAAATTATAAGATTCAATGTATATTGATATATTAAATTTTATGATATTTTATATATACCAAATTAGAGTGTCATAGATGAACTTAATAATAGTTGGGTGTTAGGTTAGTTTAAATAAAATTTGTAATTTCTAGTGTAATCGTTTAAAATATGAACTCCATATAAACAATAAGTGACAAATTAGAAACCAACTCAAAAACATATTTGTGCTGTTGTGCATGTTGTCTACTACAATAGTTGAATGCTTCTAAAATTAATTTTGTTATGTTTTATAACTTTTTCATTAATGCTCTAATTTATTCTTTGCAGCAAGGAGTACCGAGCATTCCTCCTAGCGAAATAGGAGACTTGTCATCGAACTCAAGAAATGTTAGGGTATGTTACAAAACACACATACAAATTTCTTAGTTGAAAGATTAAATTGACATCTGCACTTTTTATTGACATCTGAAACCAACACAAAAACATTTGTGCATGTTGTCTACTTCTACAGCTGAATGCTTCTAATATTGATTTTGTTCTAGTTTATAACATTTTCATTAATGCTCTACTACTCAGTCTTTGCAGCAAGGAGTACTGGGTGTTCGTCCTAGCTCATATGAAATAGGAGATTCATCATCGAGCTCGAGAAATGTCAGGGTATTTTATAAGACACACACATAGAAAGAGAAAGAGATTATGTTGTTTTCTTTGTCAATCATATTCTTTTATACATCTCTTAAATACGTCTCTTATATAGTCTACTTCAACAGTTGAATGCTTCTAAAATTAATTTTATTCTATTTTATAACCTTTTCATTAATACTCTGTTTTATTCTTTGCAGCAAGGAGTACTGGGTGTTCATCCTCGCTCATATGAAACAGGAGAATCATCATCAAGCTCAAGAAATGTTAGGGTATGTTATGAGCGCGCGCGCACACACACAGAGAAAAAGAGAGAGCATTATGTCCTCTGTGTCACACATACTCACTTATACATCTTCTAAATACTTTAATCATATTTACACTGACCTTCTTTAAGGTTAGTTCTTTTGGTTTTTTTAATTTGTAAGTATACTATATATATATATATATGTGTGTGTGTGTGATTTTTTTTTATAAAAAAGGATATTTAGTTTAATTAACATTAAATTTAAGAAAGTTCAGTGTAATTATCTTTATAATTTATAGATGTTTTCGGCGGGAGTGATTCTAATTTTAATCATTCATCCTTCAAATATTGAGTAATAAATTTTTATGATGAATTCCTCTGAATACAGATGAGAATGACCATAGAGTACAACAGCTCATCAGCAGAGGTTCAGCTGGGTAACTCGGTTCATCCAATTGTTCAAGGCAGTGAAAACCCTTCCCCTTCCCCACCAAGGTAGAGTTAATTTTCTATTTTTCTTAACTAGAATATGGAACTTGAACACATTTTGATGTTCTCAATATATTAACAATGCCTATATATAGTATACCTAATAATATAGTCTACCCTATTATGTATTGCTTTCTGTGTGATACATTTATTTATTCAAAATGAATCTGTTATTTGATGTAGGCCTAATGTAAACCGAATGTATGATCCAGCATTTGAAACGCAAGGCTTACCTGTGGACCCCCATCTGAGGTTGTTCCTTGGGAACAATGATAACAACGGTAAGTTTTTTAATCTATTCTATTATCTAACATATGTATATATGTATGTCAATTCTTTGGGATTATTTTTGTTGTATATGATATGTGTGTGTATATATTCATGTCAGCAGGTAACAGCGATGGGTCAGGTTCGAATTGATCGCATGCAATGGCTTCATCTTGGCACATAGCTGCCAATTATGCTACATATATATATGAGTCAAGAAAATTTAGACAATTATGAGGATTTTCTATGATTTCAATAAGCTTTTCTAAGCACTCTTGGGAGTTAATACTTTTGGATTTGGTACTCAGCTACTCTGATGTGTGTTCAGAGATTTCCTTTGGTATTATGACTTGTAGACCGGTTTTATGGTATGATTTGATTTGATTATTGGATATATTTGGGACCTATTAATCGTTTGTCAATTTGCTCACCTTATCAATAACCCATCACCACGGGGATCACTGAGGGTAGGTTAATTTAGTCATTTACTGTTTCGTTTTACTTGCACTGGGTTCAAGTTCAATTTCATCTTTAGCTCCAACTTGCCTTGGCATTGTTTACAAGTTGGACTTCAACATTGGGTTGCAACTTATCAATCTCAATATTTGTAGATTGAATTTCAACTTTTTTTTATTGGTCATTGGGCGAAGGGATTGGGAGAGGAAATGTGAGAATTTACTAAGCTCAAGTTTTGAATATTGGTCATGGTACTTCATATAAGCCTTCATATGTGTGATGCACAATAATACAATTCTTTTTGTTGTCCTCTATGCGGTTACTAAAGAGCCCCACACTACGCCCAATAATACAAGAACAATTCCAATCCTCCACTAATATATTGAACCCAATAGTTATATATGTCCTTTAGTTTACTGAACTTAGTGCATATTTAGATCTTTTAAAATATATAATTATTTATTTTTCAAAAGTTACCTCAATAAATAAGTGATTATTTATTAAAATAATTTACTAACCATCCACTTTAACTCGTGAATAGATAAACCCAAAAATTTACCTAATTAATTGACAAAGACAAAATAAGTAAACAAGCTAACAAATAAATAATAAATATATGGGGGTTGCTGACTTTGGCTGTGGAGAATTGGGCTTTTGAGAGCCGTGCTTCTCTGGACCCAAAAAAAAAAGTCCACCCTCATCTCTCTTCTATTATTTTCCACTCATTTTTATCATATCATTTTTTACAAATTTGTTATTTTTATTATAATTATGTTTTTTCATTTTATGAATAAACAGACTGAAGTATGAAACGGGTTTTCACAGATATCAAATTTTAATTTTTTTAAATAGTTAAATAAATTAATATATTGAGAATAAATAAATCAAATACTTAGAAAACATGTTTCTAAGAAACTTATTTCTTAATTATATATGGAAAGTAAAATAAAATAAGATTATAACTTTGTTAAGAAATTAGTATTAACCAATAGAGGTTTCCACCATTAAAAAATACATGTGAATGATAGATTAATTGACAGAGAGAGACTTAAATAATTAATAATAACAACAACACACAAATAATTGAAATGTTTACGTCATGGTTGTGGCATGGTAGAGACCATAGAAACAGAAATTAAGAATGAACGAAGAAAATATTTAAAAATAATTAAAATGAACGAACTTTAATGACAGTTAAATATAATTAAAATAACAAAAAAAAAAATCATTAAAATTGATTTTGGGGGTAGTATTAGTCGAGGAGAGGACAAAAGAAGAATCAGAAAAGAGATGAATAATATCCGCCAGAGAATCACAGAGACCAATCCCTCTGCACCAAATCCTATACAGCTTCAACGTGGAGAATCACCCCAAAAACAAAATAAGTGATTGTGAAAATTATTTTATTTTAGATTATTAATAAAAAATTTAATCTTAATAATGTATATAATTTTTTAATTAATTTAAAATGTAATTATTTATTTCATAGAGTAATTTATATAAAGGAACACAAGACATGATAAGATGAGTTGTCAAGAGTTAAATTCTACTTAGAAGAGTCGGTTGGTGACTTGGTGTCATTTCAGGCCTAATTATTTGAAGTTAATAAAATTATTTTTAAATTATTAATGAAGTTGAAAAATGATATAATTGATTTGCAAACATGTATTTGTTCTAAGCTTGTTTACAATGCTATTAATGCACTAAAGTTTTATCTCTTTGTTATTAGTTGATGGATAATCAACAATGTATAACATATCCCAAAGAACAAATTATTTTAATGAAACATATAATCTGATTAGTTCATACGATGTAAGGACAAATTGGTGTGACTGCCTCATCTAATATAAAAGAGCCACCTAATAAAAGGGCTACAATTAAAGATTTATAAATTGTTACTTGAAATCCAATATCATCAACTAATATTATTGCCTCGTATTAAAAATATATGTGATATTTAAATAACAATATTATTTTATTTAAATATTATCGATTTATATAAATCAATATCACATTTCACCTCTCTTGCAACTTTATTAATTTGTTAGATAAATTTTGAAAACCATTAATTTTAACATTTAGTTAAAAAACTACAAACCTTTTACAAACAAATAAAACTGTAATAACAGAATTTACAATAAGTTAAAGTTTTAACAATTTAATTTATATATACAAAATTCATTTTAAAACAACTATATTAAATATTTAAAAAAATTATTCGTAGATTCGTACCATGTAAAAAAAGATTCCAAAAGAAAATGATGTGCCCTCTTTTTGACTTTACCTGTTGAACAAAACACACTTGGCGTGTTAATAAAAAGTTGAACGTGGCTTCCTATGGCACGAACAAACCAGAGTCGAGAAAGAGCATCTAACCAAATTGTTCACCGTTGGTTATTCAAAAGATTCCACTGAGAAACGTACACAGTGAGAAAGAAACTATGCGTTAGTGCACAAACCACTTATCTGTTTCCAACAACATTTGTGTTATCCATGGCTTCCCACGTTGCTCTTCTTCACCAAACTCCTCTTTCAATTCCCACTCATCAACGCTTTCACTTCAAACAAATTTGCATAAATGGACTCAAACCCATCACCATTTCTTCTTCTTCTTCTTCTTCTTATTGCTTTCCATGTTCCACAACAACTCAAAGAGGGTCTTCTTCCTCAGTGGTTACGTGTTCCTCTTTGAATGGGAGAGAACCAGATTCGGTGGATGATGATGATGGTGTCAGAAGCGTGGAGCGCATTCTTGAAGAGAAACGACGAGCTGCATTGTCTTCTAGGATTGCCTCAGGGGAATTCACTGTGAAACAGAAATTTGGGTATGCGTAAACAACCTTAAACTTTCAAAATTTTGCTTCTATGGGGTTTTGTAAGTTAATACAGTGGTCGGGTGGTTGTTAGCAACCCCTATGGGTTTTCAATTTTGGTCTAACTAAAGTATAGTATGTAATTTGAAGTGGGTTTGCTCAAAGAATGATTTTTGTTTGTTTATTTGTTTGTTTTCTCTTTTGTGGGTTTGATCTAGTTTACTTTCTCTACTGAAGATCTTGGTAAAGTTTGGGGTGCCCAATGAAGTTTTGGAATTTTTGTTTGGTTGGGTTGAAGGGAGTGGCGTTTACCCCAAAATTCCTGAGGCAAAAGGGTCAATCAAAGCCATTCGAAGTGAGCCCTTCTTCATTCCCTTGTATGAACTTTACATCACATATGGTGGGATTTTCAGGTTGAACTTTGGACCAAAGGTTAGTGCTTTTTTTTTATTTTTTTGTTTTCAGCTGAAATGTAGTTTATTTCTCTTTGAAAACAATACCTTATACGTGGATAGTCAACAGGGTTTGACTTGCCTGCTTTATAGGCGATTTGTAATTAAATGGATGGTTTTGCATGCTATTGGAATAGGGATAATTGAGTTTCCTTCTTTGTTTTCTTGCAGTCCTTTCTGATAGTATCTGACCCATCTATTGCAAAACACATATTGAGAAACAATTCAAAGGCTTATTCAAAGGTATTCAACTCAAAAGTCAACAATGAGTGCTACTGTTCAAGTGCTTTTCTGCTCCGACCCTTCTTTCATACATTGTTACTTCTTCATGTGCAGGGTATATTGGCTGAGATCCTAGACTTTGTAATGGGGAAAGGTCTCATCCCAGCTGATGGGGAAATATGGCGAGTTAGACGACGTGCTATAGTCCCAGCATTGCATCAAAAGGTTTTCTTGCTAGTGTTCTTGGACTGATTTATTTCATCACTTTGAATCATGTCCTAGATAGATTTCTTGGCTGCTAAGGTCATGATTTAAAGGGTTCCTTTCTTATGTTGGAAAAATAGTGCTTATTTATGTTAGTGAAAATGGCTATCTCAACGAGCAAATACTTATTAAACTTGGCATAATTGTGTTATTTGAGGGTTACTTGAAAATTTTAGAAGCTAGCCAGCATTGCTAATCAATGAAAATCATAGATTCACTTATCAGTATTCATTACCATCAGAATGTCAATTATGACTATTTTGATTTATTCATTTTAGGGAGTCAAGAGATGTTTGCTACTACTTCATTCTCACTTTTTCTTAAATTTCTGCTCCAACTTGTATGCTTTTGATTTCATTTCCTGATTTTGATTATAGTATGTAGCGGCTATGATTAGCCTTTTTGGACAAGCTACAGATAGGCTCTGCAAGAAGCTAGATGCTGCTGCATCTGATGGAGAAGATGTCGAGATGGAGTCACTTTTCTCTAGATTGACCTTGGATATCATTGGCAAGGCAGTATTCAATTATGATTTTGATAGTTTATCAAATGACACTGGTATAGTTGAGGTATAATTTTTGGAATATTCTCTTATCCTTCTGTCATTATTTACATTCACTGTTCCACTTTACAATTTATCTACTCATGCCAATGAAATTACTTTATACACAAGCTTCATATCGTTGCACTTTATTTAATTATATCAGGCTGTTTATGATGTATTGAGAGAAGCAGAAGATCGGAGTGTAGCTCCAATTCCAGTCTGGGAGATCCCAATATGGAAAGACATATCGCCACGTCAAAGGAAGGTTAATGCTGCTCTCAAATTGGTCAATGATACGCTCAATGATCTGATAGCAATATGCAAGGTAATGTTGTCATTAGAGTGACACAAGCTTATGTTCTCAAAATAGGATCTGGTAAGATATGCAATATGTGTTGCCACTGCAGAAAGACACTTCTGAATATTGATATGCTGTCTACATTTTGGCACCTGCTACGATTATAAATTTATGTTCATCATCATGAACGTGCACTTTTTGCAAGATCTTTTACACTATCTTCTAAAGTCCTGATTCCCAAACTCTTAGCATAAGTCAAATTCTGAGGAAACTTTGTGTGATTAACATGGACATTGTTAAAAATGAATTCATATTTGTCAGACATGTTTCTTGTCCTAATTGCTAAATTTTTCAGATATCTTGTGGGTAGTGAGATAGTTTTAATTGTGTTACGTAATGCATGAAAGATGAATCACATTCTTGGTCCTCCATTTTTCATCATTTAAGTTTCACAGAAATAGAAGCACATTCTCTTCATTAGATTAGGGGAACTTCTATGATTAGATCATTAGAGTGCAGATTGTGAAAATTTGGTAAGTTACGCAGAACATGGATGTAGCCATGCAATAGTTTTTTTATGATTTTCTTTTCAACAATAGAAATATAAGATTCATTCTTTGATATGCATGTTAATTAGATAAATATCAATTTTATAATAGGATAAATTCCTGCTGTCATTAGCCAGTCTTATGTCAAATTGCAGTTCAATGATTCATCATGTTCTTATTGTGAACCTCTAGAACTACTGTCTACTAAACTCTATGGTGTTTCATATATATCTTTAATTATCATTTTCAGAGAATGGTGGATGAAGAAGAGTTACAGTTTCATGAGGAGTACATGAATGAACAAGATCCAAGTATTCTGCACTTCCTGTTGGCATCAGGAGATGATGTATGTTAGCTTTGTCTCAAATTATTTTATTTAATAAAAAAAATTTGATGTGAGTGCATAATATGAAATAATAACTCTTTTTAGGTGTCAAGCAAGCAACTCCGCGATGATTTAATGACAATGCTTATTGCTGGACATGAAACATCAGCTGCTGTTTTAACTTGGACCTTTTATCTTCTAACTAAGGTAATAATGCGTGACTAAGGTTCAATAAAAAGGAGAATTGTTTTCTGGCGATTTGATCTATGCTACTTATCCCATTCCTTCTTGGGCTGACTGATGCTATGTAATTTTTATTTTTATTTTTATTTTCGGTTTCATTGCAAAAGTTTTACTTAACCCAACAGGAAAAGTTTGGAAAATAATGCATGTGCAATAGATCATTGCAGTTATTTCTTCACTTCAACCCCGGATTGAGATGCATTGCATACACTTCAGTTATTTGTTTGTAGTCACATGTACAATGAAGAATTAATTTATAATGCAGTAATGGCTGATACAAGAATATTTTCGGTTTTCTTTTTTCATTGGCTGCAGGAGCCTAGGGTCATGTCCAAGCTCCAAGAAGAGGTTTCATGAGATTCTTACCTTTCAAACGAGTATCAAACATCATATTAGGCTTTCAAATCCCAAGAATCTGATATTATATGATTTTTCGTAGGTTGATTCTGTTCTTGGAGATCGATTTCCAACTATTGAAGACATGAAGAAACTCAAATATGCAACTCGAGTGATCAATGAGGTATAAAATGGCATGCTTCTCATTATGTTTAATATGGTTTTTGTATAGCTACTAATTAACTTTTTTAAATATATTCAACTTTTAGTCACTTAGGCTTTACCCACAGCCGCCTGTGTTAATTCGCCGCTCTCTTGAGGATGATGTTCTTGGAGAGTATTCTATTAAAAGGTAATTCCAAAAAACACTTGGTCTTAAATAGTTTTGCCAATGTTTCTTTTCTTGTTTAGAAGTCTTATTCTCTTGTTTCGTCTTCAAGTTTCTCTTATCATTAACCAAAAGTGTGAACTCAAAGCCCCTGTTTATGGAGTATTATGCGAACCTCCTTATGGTTTGATTAAATTACCTCAACTTTAGAGAAAAAGAAAAGACCTCCTGTTTTGAAAATCCATAGTCCACACACTTATTAAGCCCTCTCTGCAGCCTTCTCTGGTCGGGAAAAATCAAAGGAAAACTTTTCTGAAATAAATGAAGATGCAGGGTGTAAATTACTGAAATATTAAGGGATATCATATAATTTTTTTTCTCAACATGCAATATACTGAGAGTTTGCCTTTCTAATCTATGGCATTGGCAATTTTGTATCATTAATTATTTGCAGAGGTGAAGATATATTTATATCTGTCTGGAACCTGCATCGCAGTCCAGAACTGTGGGATGATGCTGATAAGTTTGAACCTGAAAGATGGGCATTAGATGGACCAAACCCTAATGAGACGAATCAAAACTTCAAGTATATTACTTATATTTAATCTATTTGTTCAACATCTACCTCTCATGTTAAGGAGGATAACATCTTATATTAGGCCAATAGTTTTTAATCTATGAAACAATGTAATTTGCTGAGGTAGTAACACAGTTATTCTCTCTTTCAGATATCTTCCGTTTGGTGGAGGACCACGGAAATGTGTAGGTGATTTGTTTGCTACATACGAGGTAACGTTCACTGCTATGTTGGTTAAATCTTTTGTTTATCTGCTATTTTTCAATTAGCTAGGTGGCAAACCTTACAATTATGAGTGGATTCAGTTTTATTTAGAATTGCAGATGGCAAATGTTATTGTGCATACTAATGAAAATTTGTATGCTTTTATGATGATTATTGTAAAGACTGTAGTAGCACTTGCAATGCTTGTTAGACGATTCAACTTTCAAATGGCAGTTGGAGCTCCACCAGTAAGTTTCTTTGTTGTGATATTTTCAAGTTTTGATGAAGTCTCAAGAGATTGTTTTAAAAACTGTTTTTATCTAAACCTTGAGAATTGTTTGGTTTCAGAAAGTGTTTTTTGTTTTTATTTTCAGTTTTAATTCAAAAATGTCATTTTTTTTTCATTTTGTTTTCTTATTTCAACGTTATGTATGGAAAACAGTAAAAATAAAAACAAGTTTTACTGTTTCCTGTACAAATATATAAGAACAAAATGAAAATAAGATGTCATTTTTGGAAAACATTTTCTCAAACCATACAACCCCTTAAGATTGAAAATAATAGTCTTAAAGTTGATTGCTTGAACATTTCTTGAAGTTTTAGGTTAACAGTGATGAAAAATGGTACTTAACAAAATGATTGGTTGGCAAGTGCCAACATGCCATGATATTGCTAGGATCTGATGTGACTAACTCATTGTCTTTCATAGGTTGAGATGACTACTGGAGCTACAATTCATACGACACAAGGGTTGAGAATGACTGTAACACACCGTATAAAACCTCCCATTGTACCCTCATTACAGATGCCAACATTGGAAGTGGATCCATCTATGAGCATTTCTGATAAGGATGAAATAAATACAAAAGGTCAAGTTTATTATCAGGCTCAGTCCTAATTGCTGCTGTAGCACATCATAAACCATACAATATAAAATGAGTGGAAAAGGGGGTAAAAAAAGTATAATTCTTTGCTATCTTCCAATTGTTTAAGTGAAATTATGTAGTAAGAAGTTAAGGCTTCATACCCCCAACCACCCCCCACCTCTGCTCCTTTCTCAAGGAAGAGAGAAAAACTTAAAAGTCCTTTTCATCTTTACAATTCTTATTAAGAGTGCAATTCAAGAATTATATTTATAAATATAACTTAAAAGATGAGAAGCGTCTGAACAAATTAAATTTGATGCTTTGTGTACTAAGCACTTATTGAAGAAGTTCTTAGAAAATTAGGCTTGCAAAAGGATCCTCTACGTGACATTGTCCACTGGGTTTGGTGCATCCATCAGATCCCTTAACTCTTTCTCAAAAGTTAGTTCAAAGGATGAGGTTTATTTAAGTTCTATAAGCAATATTTTAACTATTTTTAGCTGATATGAGACATTTTAACTCAAGTTACTAAAAAAATGTTGTATATATGTCGATGGAGACGGTCATTATTTGAATATAGTGCTTTAAAAATAGGTTAGTGAACATAAATAATAAGTTCACAAATTTATCGTCGTAAAATCTTTCAAAGAAAAAATATGATCAGTTGTACTAATGTGATGGCTATTTGTATACCTGCATTTTAGTGCAGCTATTCAAGTGATGTCTTGATTAATCGTATATCTTATGCATCTTTAAAATGCAACATTATTTTATTAATAAAATTGAAATAGATCAGTTGATAAAGGAGACACTATTAATATAATTTTATTTTCTAGCCTGATGAAGATGACTGCACCAGCATACCTGATATTTCAAACAGTCAAAGACAAAGGATTGAGGAAGGGTGTAAAGGGAGAAAGTAATGTTTTATCTATCATTGATTTGAATATGTATTAGGCTATGTTTATCTAATTCGATGTCGATAAATGTGAAAATTTAAGAGTTTATACACAAATTAACAAGTTTGTGAGTTGACCAAAAAAATAATACACATTAACAAAAATTGTAAAAAAATAAAATTGAGTTCTCGTTTACAATTACAATTTTTTATTACAATTTTATATGAGAAATGATAGTAACACAAATACATTTTTTAACAGTCTTTCTCACTCACAATTTAGCATTTCTTTCTTATATTTTTATAATTTTTAATAAATTTTAACTAATAACTAAGAATGTACTAAATATGTGTTTTCCTAATATTCATCTAATTGCAATACAATTGGAAATAAAATTTAAAACGTTGTAGACATGTATAGGAAAAAAAAACACTTTAAACTTGTATTTTAGAGGAAAAAAGTTGCAATTGAATGAAATAGGACTACTACCCACATAAAATTAACAAACAAATGAACAAAATGCATAAACATTAGAAAAAAAATGTAGTGAGTTAATTAAAGGGCTCAAAATTTTGAATACAGAAGAAAATTATTGTTTTATATAAAGAAAATAAGGGAAAAGTTTGAAAAGTGGATTAAGATAAAAATATTATTTTTGTTAACCAGCATAGTTTCAAGAAGTTCAAGGGTCAACAATTTTGCAAAAGAGAAATAGTAAATAAGAAAAAAAAATGTGAAAAAAAAACTTTGTACATCAGTCAACCTCCGTACCAATCTTATATACAAAGATGGTAAAATGGATTCAACCTATTAAACTCATTGAACTGTCTCCACTTAACTTGTACTGTCAAGCGGGTTAGATGAGGGCAGGGTGGACTTATCGTGTTATATATTTAAAAAATAAAAAAAAATTGTTTTTTATATATAAATTTTAAAATATTATTATTAATAAAGTTAATCATTTATGTAAGTTATAATTTAATTATATATATTTTTCATGTTTAAATTTATATAATTTTATTTTCTTTAAAGTGTTAAACAAGTCAATCTACTGTCAAAACAGGGCAAGTTGATGTTCAACTCATAAAAAAAAATCGCAGATTGACATGTCAATGGCAAGAAAGGACAGAATAAGACAGGTTGAAACGTTTTGTCATCCCTAATTTATATATATAACATTGAATTAATTAATAACTGAACAGTTTAATAAAATATACACGGTAATTATGAGTAACTTTTTCATAATTAAAACCAGCATAAAACATTTCTTACTGTTTTATTATCGATTTCAAATTTTAAATTATATTACGTGGATTTTTTTTTAATTCAAAAGCATTACTTAATTATTTATATAAAAATAGTAATATTTATGAGGGAGAATGTTAATCAGTACCATAAAAATATTAGTTAAATAAATAAAAGTAAGTTTTTTTAAAATAATATTTAATATTATTAATACAATCTTATCATAATTTGTAATCAATTTATTAACCAATATTTTTAGGACACTCACTAGTAATACTCATTTACGAGAACTTAATGGTAATAACATAAGATACTTTATTTACTTTTTGTTATTTATTTATTTATTTCTGAATACATTATATAGTGCCTTATTGTAAGATGGGGTTTTTCTTAATAAAAATAGTTTATTAATATTATTATATTTTACTTTTAAATTTTTTTAAGACATAAAATTTATGAAAAGAGAAAAATGATAGATATTTTCTTTAAAAATCCATTTTAAGTTAAAGTTAAAAACAAGAGAAATGAATTTCAAGTTAGTTTGATTGATAGTTTTATAAACTTTTAACCTAAGCTTTATTTTTCAAGCACAAATTATAGGTGGTGTACTTTTCGATGTTTAAATTTGTAACTAATAAGAACTGACGGAGAAGTTGTTAAAATTAGTTTGTAATTTGTGTATATGTTTATTTCATTAAAAAAAGTTTATTTTATTTTTTTGACAACAATTTTTCTTTTGAGTAGAAAAAAAAGTCCAAAATAAGATAGGTCAAAACTTTATCATATGATAAAATGAAGGTTTTTTTTTTTAAGGAGAAAGGATTTTCATTACTCTTAGGAAGTTAATATTATTGTTATAGATCAAATAATAATTAGTTTTTTGAAAAATAATAATAAATAAATAAGCTAGGATATCCGCTTGGGTCGGCCCTGCTATTGTGTATTTACAGTAAATTGGACAATACTAGATCGTTCACTTCGAAATGCATCTGGAGAAGCTCAACAAAATCACCAGGGCAATTTGCATTTCTCAATTGCTGGTATAGCAGAACTAGACTAAAGAATGAACATGATTGCATGGACAAATATGCTGTACGAAGAAGGCCTTTTTTTTTTCCCTATATGGTCGATATATTAAGAAAGCTATCTATCCTGATGTATAGCAACCAAAGCATCCTCGTATAGAGAAACGTTTCCGAACTGGCTTGTACTCGGCTACGGAGGTAACTGGCTTGGCATTGGCCTCGTTATCTGAGTTTTGGTTCGGATAATGTTTATAGAATGCTTTAACTGCTCCTAACACTCCATCTTCATTTTTCATGGCGTTAGCAAGTTCAACAGCACGCTTTTTTACCTGCATAAAATCCCGGGTATATCAGAAACACATAAAAAGGAAAAAATAAAATAAAAAGGAAAGCTTCGTTAGTCTTAAGTTGACAATGAATCCACAGCACCTATTACCATATTTAATAACAAAAGAGAACTGAGTCTGAAAGACCATATAAAGCTAAAGTTGTGAAGAACAGTTCCATTTGTTTAATACCCACATATTCCACACTATTTCAGGGGGGAAATGGTAAATTGAACTTTTTTTGCTTGATTTTGTCTCCGAAGTATATGTAACTTTCCCATAGCACAGCAAAAATAAATCGGTATAGCATGCATACCAATCAAAGAATGGATGTTAGATAAGCACAAACTATATTATCCATGGCTAAAGATAAAACGGATAATCACGTGTATATTCTCTCTCCTTTTCCTGGTACATTATTGCATTAGATATTTATGCATCGTGAACAGGGCTGAACCTGGAACACAATCATGCTACATTCATTATACTACCTGCTCTGATCACAGTTAAATGTTACCTCTGGTTTCAGCATAAAGTCTATGGCATCAACCAGCCTTTCCAATGTAAACTCATCCACCGGGATGGGTGCAGGACCTACTCCTCTAGCGTGCACCCGCTCTCCCCAAAATGGTTGGTCCCCAAAGAATGGTACAACAGTTGTTGGGCACTACAGAAAAAGAGAATAAAGATTGACCCTATTGTAAGATACAGGCAGCACTAAAGTTAACAAGATTTCACATTACACGATACATACTTCAGCTCTAAGACCAGCAGCAGTTGTTCCAGCGCCCCCATGATGTACCTGACATTTGAGACTTTCAACTAGAATTTAATTCGAATTAAAAACAATAGTACTTCTACTGAGAAAAATTTTGCAGGTACCACAGCGGTGCATCGTGGAAACAGCCAATCATGCGGACAGTTGTCCAATAAGTACACAGTTTTGTTTTGTTCTGCCGCTGAGAAACAGAAATTACAACGTGCTTCAGAATCAGAGCAGCAAAACAAGTTTATTAATGGCATGTTTGAAGTAGAAATCATGACTCACAAGTCCCAAGACCCCCCCAGCCTTTGTTGATGACACCCCTCTGCCCTGTTTGTTCCAGAGCTTGAACTATAATTTTAGTCATTTTCTCAGGTTCCTGCAAAGGCTGTTCAAGACCACAACCAAAAAATTACATTAGATGTGCTTTAGTGATTAATACAATCTAGTGCAGAATTATAGCTCAATATAAATAGTGGTTTGTTTCTCTAGTTTTTATATGGTTTGACAAATACATATTCTATTGATCTTTCTAGAAATGGAAGATCTTTTATTTTCACTTCTAGGGCAAGCCTTTTCTGTTTTTGTTTCTCAATGCGTATAAATCCTATATTCTACTGATAGAGTTTCATTTAAGACAGATCTCTCTTCTTTAGTGGAGTTATAGTTTGGAAGAACTCAATTAAATTATGGACACTTTCCTGGAACAAGTAAGAAAAATAAATCTTTAAACTCCCCTTCTCATAAGGTATGGCACATTTGATTCAATGCCTGAGTACGGAACAAGCCACATATATCTATTACTGGCAAATGTCACTTCGAAAAGTTATATTTAGACAAACAGTATTTCTGCAGATTCATCGAAGTGTAATCAGACCTAAACACATGAATGTAGAAACTCACAAGGCTACCAAATCCAACGTAAATAGGTTTTTCACCCTCTTCAAGCCAATCCACTAGTGATTGTGGTGGTTCATAATTTGAAGCAAGGTCAAGGAAACAAAATCCAACAACATCAATTTTAGGTCCCCAGTCTGCAGATCAAGAAGTAAAACACAATTAGACTATCACCACATCCACATCCTTTGATCCAGGTCAGAGAAAGTGAGTGCAGAAAATGCAAAGAGGGTAAGGGTACCGTGAGTGAGGACTACAATGGTGTGAGAGCACACTATAAATAAATATCTAACCTTTTGGTTTAGGGACCAAGTGAGGGCTCCATATATAACCATGGGGCACATCAAGAGGAGAAAAATAAGATCCACTTAGATAAGTAATAGGCCTTAGCTTCAGCTGCTTCTTCCTAAAATCATTTATCAAGTCTCGTATCCCAAGCCAGATTAAAGCATCAACTATTTGATATGACAGCTGAAAGACTCAAAACACAATGTAAAACAATAACTTCGACATCCATGGGGAATTAATAGATTGGCTAACTTCAGATTAACAGGCAGACATTAGAACTCACTCTGTATCCAATCGGTTGCTTAACACGGGAAAGAGGATGTGGGAATTCACTGGTAGGCCTGCAAATATATATAGTCAACCATCATCATTCAAGAGCAAAGTACAAAAATGTCCCCAAATTTATCTACTTACATGTTTGTTATGCTAATATAGAAATCAATAAATGAGCACAACTGAGAACTATCCTAATTCCTAAGTCAATATATAACACACATATAGGACAGCACTCAACAGAAATATAGATAAGTCACCAAACAAGACTTACGTCCATGGCATTGTGAAGAATATGTGAAGAGGAACCTTAAGATACTCAGCAACATGAGTATGCCCTGCATAAGTTCATATACATTAAAATAACATAAAATAATTTTTAGTTATTCATAATAGCTGTGAATAAACTCAAGATTATTTCCAGGTCTTGTAGTGATTTCTACCATTCATTAACAAACTTCCTTTCAATTTGCTCTTTAGCAGTTTCCAAGCTTGGGACTCCCATTCTTAGCAACATAAAGGAGGAAACTCTTGTTTAATCTAAATATGTTTCCTTATGGTAGAGAAAACTAGGATATTGAATCATTAATGTGTATTCGAGTTAAGCCAAGTATGTCTTCTTTCCCTCTCTCTGTCATGAGTTACTTTTCACAGCTACGAACACTCCCATAGTTTATATCCCTTTCTTTGTTGTACCATTAGTTCACCCTTTTCTTTATGAAATGAGATAATCCGTAGTTCCTCTAGCTCTTTATCTATCAAATTTACATACTATATCAATACAACAAATATATAAAACCTGAAAATTGCTGCAACCAATAAACCTTGCATCCTATGCCTTCAACTTGGTCCACATCTTAAATTTAATAATTTCAAACTCCATCAACATAGGACTACAGAAACTTTGCTTTTTAAGGCTCACAACACCTTGATTTTGGAAACTAATTCTAGTTAAAAAGCTACTCTAGAGATGTTTCCTTGTAAGGGCTTCAACAGTATTACAAGGTGCCAAACCACACAAGAAAAAGAAAAGAAAATTTCCAGCAATTTTTTCAATAATTTTTTTCTTCCTATGGTCTAACCAAACTACACAGTATATTTGTCCTTAGAGGTTAATCAGACACGGTAAATACAACAGAATCTGTATGATGAAGTTAGTTCTTTCAGTCAATAGCTTCAGAACTAATGGTTTCCACAATTCTCTCAGATTTCTTTCATTTTTTTCCTGGGTACTATCACTCTCTCATTGCTTCTTGATTTCTAACAGAAAATATAATTGAAATTTTAGATTGAGATACTCTAAAATGTATGGTGTACTTTTACTCTATAAAGACTTGAATTGGTAACCATTGATGAGTTAACAGATAAAATACAGGAACAGTCAAAATGAACTGTGAGATTACCATTCAGCACTCACCAAGCAGGTTAGAGGAAACAAGTCCTTAAATTTTATGGTATCAAGTTTGTTGTTGAACTAATTTTGACAACTATATAATCTCATTACTTGATAAAATATTTGAATGTATATTTTTGCTACAATTGAAAAAGACTTCTGTGTGAATGATATTTATAATTATTGTGAGGCAAAGCATCATGAAATTGAAAGAAAAACTAAATTGAAGTAGAATCTAACCATATGCTGGAGGATTGGCAATTATTGCATCTGCTTCAAAGGGGACATTGGAATCTGGGTAAGGTTTGTTGCATGCAGGAAGCAAAGTTTTAATAATATCCTTGATTTGAGTTCTTTGTAAATGTATTTCTGAAGGTCCTGATGGCAAGAAGCCTTTATTCTTGACCATATCTGAAGAAAACATGTATATAAAAAATTTGAATGCATGAACATCGAGAAGAAATACTATTCATCAGATGACTACGTATATTTAACTTTGACAGCTGTAGTACAAATATCCCCTCACCTAGGAAATGGGCATAATGTGCTAAAATCTTTCATTCTTGTGGAGTAAATATCACTTCTTTATTTGATATATCTTTCATCTAACTTCTATTCAAGCTATATTTTTCTTCATTCTTTTTATAAAGTTTTCTGGGTATATGTCTTTTTTGACAAATATTCATGGCATACCATAAATTGTAGTTCTTGTTTAGGGGGGAAGGGGTGCCGTTAGACTTAGCTTATTGTCAAAGATGAATGTGTTCATCTAATTATGTTCAGGTTGAATAACAAAGAAAACTACAAACGAGTCCTACTATGAGGTTCAAGGTAGACTGTAATGTCAAGATACTAATAAAAGATAGTTCCAGTGGCCATTACCAGGTGAAGTTATTACATACCCTTTAAATCATCGTTAAAACAAGTTGGATTTATTTAGCAAGATCATATTTTGGAAAAGATAAGAAATACTTACAGCCAGCAAGAACTTTAGGATCTCCACCCAAAGGGTAAAACTCCAAGCCTTCATTCAAGACAAAATCTTCGAAGTTCTTATGAGTAGCTAGCCTAACCCTGTGGCCATCTACCTGCAAAAGACACCAGCCTCAACTAGGTTGCATTAAATAGGATTAAAATTGACATAAGTAGATAAGTTGAAAAAAACTATGCTTATCAAGGAGGAGAGAATGAAAAAGATATAAAAAAATAAAGAGACCAAGATTTTAGAAAGTTTCAGGAGTTTGATAAAGTAATACAATAATTAAAAACAGGTTTCAATCCACTATGGAACACAGAAGAAGCTGACAGTTTCAACTTTCAATCATAGAGAAAACAAAAATGAACCAAGCTCCAGGATCAGCTATGATTCCTATGACAACAGTTTCAACTTGGATAACTTAAGAGAGCGAAGTAAGATCAAGTCATTTTGAAATTGGTGGAAGAGGTAAGACATCACATGCGAGACTGTCTGAAATAGACTGTAAAAGTTAAAACCAAAATCCTACAGTAAACTTGATATCCACTTGCTAAAGAAAACCTAAACCACATATTACTTATTAGAAGAGACCAGTGATGTTCCCAGGAGCAAGCCAAAGCAGGGTCTTAGCACTAAAAGTAGCAAACTAGAAAATGTTTTGTCTGTTACAGAAATTTTTTTGTTGCAAACAAATAACAACGGGGGTTCATCCAACGTTTGCTAATTCTTATTTATACAATGTTTATTTGAAGGATTTATCAAGACCGATAAATGGTGTCCAGAATATCATGTTTTTAACTACAGTTTTCATAAAAGCTCGTGCCATTAATATAAACTAGGTTTTACTTTGCAGACTGCATCAGCCTGCAACACAGAAGCCCAACCACAATTTAAAACCTTGAATAAATAACTTCAGCAAAAAAAAGAAAAGAAAAGAAAAACTAATAACCTAATTCCTATTATTTTGAAACATTACATTAACAGAGTAAAATTAAACATTTCAAGCCCTAATTATTTCCACAAGCTCGATACCTTTCCTCCAAAGGAAGCCATAATCTCAAGCACACCAAAAAAGTAACGATGTACAGGTATAATGCTTAATTTTAAATGACCATTGCACAAAAACTAACACTGCAGAAGCCAGGAATACAAAAAACCTGTAGACGCTTCCCAATTGCAACAAATGGCTGAACATCTCCCCGTGTACCAACTATTAGCATTACAATTTGAAGTGGCTGAATAGGCTGAATATCCTGACCGGAAATCGCATCACTAAATTCATCACCAGCTTCATAGCCTCTAACATCAGGCTCAATACTACCTCCCTGTCCTGGAACTTCAATTTCAACCGTACCATCATTCTTCAGTGTAGAAGCCCGTCTTATCCATCCAATCTATCACATTTGCAAACAGTTCAAAAGGATTATAAAATATAAGCAACCAGAAACTCACAAGCATTCATTTAACGTTTTATAGTCACATCATTTGAAGTAACATCAATAGATGCAAGCCATACAGCATGATCTTTAGCAACATACTCCACAACCTCCATGCATACAAACTACATTTCATTATAAAAACCTCCAAGTCAATCGATGCATAAATCTAACTAGCAATTTCCGAACACATTCGAACAACAAAGTTGCCACCATAATTAAACAAAAAGCGAGTTCGCTCCCGATTGCACAATAAAAAACTCAAATGTGCATAAGATAGAGTGATATATTGAAACCTTTTTCTTGAACGGAACTGTCTCATCGAGGAACCTAGCAACCGATGCTGCACTGAAGGTTCCTTTGCTCTTACCACTAACTTGAGCAACACTCTTCGGTTGAACCTGATTCGGCGTTTCAGCTTCAGCCACAGCAACATCCACGTTCCGCGACGTAGTTGATGAATTCCTGTGAATACGTCCTGCGTAAGGCCAATCAAAACACAAACCAATATATATAACCACGTGAATTTATTATTATTATTTTACACTGTTATTCCACATTAGAAAACAACTCTGTATTATGATCATTATATATACAAAAAGAATAGTAACGAATGGAGTGGAGAAAAAACGAAAAGAAGAGTTACCGGAAGAGGGAGTGGGAATGGCAGTGGTGTTGGCGTCCAAGTAGACAGAGACGTCACTGGAAGAAGAGGCGGAGCGGTGGTGAGAGGTGGCCATTGAGAATGGTTGTGGAGAGAGGAAAGAGAATTGGGGTTTGGTGGTGGCGATGGGGAAGGTATAGTTGTGATGCTTTTTGCTTTCAGGAAAGCAGAAAGCGTGAATAGAGAGTGGTTGCCACGTGGACGTGAACGGTTACAGAGCGAAGGCACGTCGTTTTTGTTCTTCTCTGCTTTCTTAACTGCTCTTCACTCAATTTTCAATTCCATCGTTTTTATAGATCATTACAAGTCGCGAACTCACCGCGTAATTGTCACCCCCCATGGTGGCGCCATGCGTAACCGTGTCGCCACACAACTAACACTATTTATTTCTCCTCAAGAGCATATCCATTCTTTTTAACTTATCCTCGTGATGAAAACTTTAATATGTAATTTTAATGTTAATAATAAAATAAAGAAAATTCATATTACTTCAGTTTTTATTTATTTATTTATTAGAAATAAATAAAAATTATATAAATTAATAAGTTTAATCAATTTATTAAATTTAATTTTGAAGTTATTATTTATTTATATTTTTTTAACTACTCTAAAAATATAAATATTTATATTACTTTTTTATTCAAAGGTAATAATAAATATTTATTTTAAATTTTATATAAATATAAACAAATATTTGTTAGCCAATAAATAAGAATAAAAATAGTATCAATTTCTTACTGAGTTAATGCAATTGAATACTGCCTCCATTTTTCAATATATGTTTAAAGAATATATATGTATATATACATAAAAGATTTTATTATTTTATTATAATTATTTAATAAACTTCATAAAATATCATGAAATTTTCTTTGACTTAATTAGTACAAATAATTTATTTATTATATTTATAATTTTATACAGGTAAAAGTGTAATAACGAAAAAAATATAATTACGTATTCTCTTTGAATTTTATGTAAATAAACAAATAAAAATAAATTCTATATTTTCCCTCTAGTCTAATAAATGAGAATGGAAATATTATTAATTAAAAAATAATGAATTTTTATTAAAATATATTATAAGTATGTTAAAAATTATGGAAATAAAGTAATTTCTTATTTTTTGAATAAGTAAAGTTTGTTTTAATTTATTAATTTATGCCCGTATGCTTTTATAGTTGAGTGAATTAATTTTTAAAAAATAAGTCATTAAATATAATTAAGATATATGTATAAGTTATTTTGAATAATATATTTATATTAAAATATATACTCTTTTTTAAAATATAAAATTAATTTTTTAACTTTTAAACAACACATTGGCAAACCTTTATATCTTCAAAATATCCATGAGCATTATGTACGCATATATTGTTTTATTAATAAAATTTTACGGACACTTTCGTAATAATTTTTTATTATATACCGTGCAATTTTATAAAACAAATATTATATACTGAGTAATAAAAATATTGACACAAAAATTATAAGAAACTGAAATAATCTCTTTTACTTTGAAGTGTATTTTTTATGATTTTTGAAATTTTTATTAAATAATTTACACAGACATCAATACATAATTGTGAGATTGACTTTTATACTATCAATTATCACTGTATTCAATCCTTCTTGACATATACCTACAACCTTAACAATATATTTGGAATCGCTAATTTTGGAAATTCATTTGATTTACAAATAAAATCTTTGCTTAAGAAGATTTAATTAAATTGAGGTGAACTTGATCTTTCAAGCTCAATTAAATTTAATAATGGAGATAGGTGTGGTTGGGGGTGACCTACTTTTTCTGCCATGCCTAACTTTTCAAAGTATGGTTTCGTAATGAAGACAAAAATAAAATTGTAGCAACTCTTATTATCTCATATATATATAATGGCTTATGATACAGAAATAGGATTTCAAGTTATGGCCCATAAGCAAAAAGGTCTGGTTTCTTAGTGGTTACTCAAATTGGGTTGAGAAATGGGCCTGGGCCTACATAATAACCTCTGTGAAGTGACGTGTACATTATTGGAGTGAAAATGCAAGCAAAAGCAACGTTGCTGTCAGTGAGGGTGTTCCTATTATTATTAATTATTAATGAAAATGAAAAAAACATCATAGAAGAAAAATGAAAAACATGAACCAAATACATTGTACAAGGACTGCTCTTGCTCTTGCTACGTTTCTCAAAGTACTTTAGAGTGGACACAGATACTGACAATAGCAAGAGCTTTCAACTTTGGTGTATTATTGTTCCTTTCACCTGTCTATGCTTTCATCTTTTGTAAGCTGCTTCTGTTTTTTTTTTTTTTCTTTTTTTTTTCACTCTTTCATTTTTATCATTTCTTTTTCTGTTTTGGTTCACTGCTTGCCAAAGTTTGATTCTTTTTGCTATCTGCATGGCTTAAAATTTCACAAATTCTTTTGGGTGCTGTAGAAAACGGATGAACAGTAAATGGAAACTCGTGATTCTCTATTGTGAATGGACCCATTCTCTTGTTAGGTTTTTCTGCAAGGAATCTTTTTTTATTTGGTTTAAAGAAAAAATATGGTGGGGTTTGTCTTAGATATGTTAATCTTCAGTTTATGAGTAAAGCTTCTTCTTTCTTTTTTCCTTTCTCTGTGCTGTGTTTGGTTTTTACCCCCCTTTGTTCTTGCAAACACTTGCTGTGTTAAATGGTGCATTTTCATGCTTGTGCTTTGAAATTCGTTGAGTGTGGATGGTGGTGACTTGTTAGAGGCCAGGTTAGTAGAGAGCTTTAGTGTGGCTTGCCTCTTGTGGTAGTGACAAGAAACAAGTTTTTGGATCAATGGTGGTAAGTTTTGAAGAAAAAAATTATTGTTTGGAAGATGCATCTGTAAAAGTTTCTTCAGTTAGGGATTGCCTAAATGTGGAATTTTAAGTTAGAGAACCTCATAAATGCTCCACTGGTCAATTTTTTATTAATGCAATTGCTGTCTAAGGTTCTTTCGGAGTTTGTGGTTTTCTATGGTGAAGGAACTGCAAGAAAATCATGGAAATCTCCTTATTCAGTGGCGCCTTGGACTTCTCTGTAAAAGAAAAGATGGGCATTTTTACTTTAGCTTCTTGAATCTACCTTATTGTCATAGCAACGATGATGTGCCCTGCATAGCTGGTCATTCATTTTTTATAAGTTATAAAATGCACAAGTTTCCATTTGGTTTTGCATATAATGAAAATGAAAATTTGCTGATACTAAAACCTCTTTAAGATTTTTTACCATCACAATATGTTTCTGCAAGGTCCTAGTGGAGTTTTAGGTAATAATATTTCAAATGCTTGGGGTGAAACTTGTTTATCCTTCTTGCATTCATTCATATTAGATTATGCCAATTACAGCCGCTTAAGAACTTTTGAACTAACTTGCAGGTTAAATTAGAAGGGTATTTCAAACAAAGGGCTTAAAATTGGCTTTGTAGACTGAAGATATATGCTGTAACAATCCAAAATTCTGTGAGAGATGTGTCCTGTGATTCTTGAGATAGATATATTCAATCTGTAAGTCAGTTATTTTGCTATATTCATAATAATGAACTCCCTACTTCCTCATGGAATGAGCTCCATTCAATCATGACCGATATTTACTTTTGTTTTCAGTGCTTTAGCCTAGCATTCAGTAGTTTAGGAGTCCTTTTCAAAGAAGTATAAATGTTTGGCAGCAAAGTGTTTCTAACTTACAAAAGAAAGCGGCAATCTCTAAGTAGTAGTTTTATCCATGGGAATTGTTGCCAAAATTCAGCTTGTGAAGGTGCCCAAAATCGTTCTTTACCTACACAAACTAAACATGACAAGCTAACTGAGGTGAAGTCATCAGAAAAGCATGAAGAAAAACCAAGGGTGAGATTGATGCAACTTCTGATTTCTTTGATTTGTTTCTGGAACATCACAAGTGACTCTCTTTTTCCCCTGCTATTTCATATCTAGCAAGATTTGTCTGTCAAGCCTCTTATAACACTTGGCATAAACTACTAGCTAGTAGCTGGGTTGATTCATGTATTTCTACAAAATCAAGATGGCTTTTATTTTAACAAAATAGTAAATACTTAATTTAAGTGGATTGATGTATATTGGAAGTCAAAAGTATGATGCTCTCATACTGCTATCATGTAGTGTTTTTTCTTTTTTTGAACCCACCACTGGCAATGGCAATTCTTATCTGTGACTAACTGGGAAGTTCTTTCTAAATAAGAAGCTTTGCCTCTGCTGGGGATGGGTCTGGTTGAATGCTTTTTGGCTGAGTTAAGACCTTTTGATTGTAATATATTGTATAACATGAAAGCAAGAAGGCCTAGATTAAAATGAGGGATTTGAATGGAGGAATGAAGAAGCTGATAGAAAAGTGAATATTTTTATTAGCAAGGTTTTTAAAGATGTAGGCGAGATATCTTGGCCACAAAGAATCTCCAAACTTGAGCTTTTCTTTTTAAAGAATAATGGAAATGCTAGAGAATTCTATAAAATATTAAGTTTCATCTTGGATTTCACTGGGGATCTAATGATGCGTTGTGATAACTGCTATCAACATATAATTGTAAATTTCTTAGTAAGCCAATTATTTCTTGTGACTAAACAAAGTATCTGTTGGAATAACATTCAATTGCCTGTTATGTGGAGAGCTCTTGTGATTGCATGCTGACAGGCTTATTCATCTATCTGTTTCATAGGATACTAGTGATGGAAAAATCCCATGCTTCAAACAGCCAGATTGTTCATCTTTGGTTCCAGTTCAAAAGCCCAGTGGCCTCAGGGCAGGAGAGCTTGGAAATTATGATGCAACAGAATTGATGGTTACCACAAAGAAATCATTTTCAGCATCTCATTCATGTGAGGATGAAGCCAAGAGGGATGTTGGTGAATTTTCATCAGTGGAAAAGGCTTCACAAAATGATTGTGATAGTCAGAGAAGTTCCTATGCCCATAAAAATTGTTCTAATAAAAAAATTATTTCCCCATTAGTTGAATTGGATGCTGGGAATGGTTGTAATTTAGTCAACTCAGAAACATCCATTACAAAGGAATTCAGTTCTTCACATGTTAATGAATCTCCCGTTTTGAATAATTCAGTGGATGAATCTACTGATTCTCACACCAAAGATAATAGTTTCATAAACCCACCTGGTCATGTGGTTAAGCAGACCAACTTGATCAGTCCATTAATAACCTTCAACCGATGTTACAAAAGAAAAAAAGGTTTGGATGGGACTGATAGGCAAAGCAAGTTATTGCACAAGAAGGAAAATATTTCAGTGTTAACCAAGTGGAGCATGCTTGCAAATGGAAATCCATGTTCTAGCGATGAATCATCTTGTGAGGAATGTCCTGTAGATAATGTACCAGACCTTAATCAATCAGTGGAGCTTTCAGAAAGAGGGAAATTATTGAATGAAACTCAAGATGAAACATTATATAGAAGCTGCTCTACAGTTTTTCTAACAGACCTTAATCAATCTGCAGAGCTTTCAGAAAGAGGGGAGCTTTGTCAAACTCAAGAAAAAGTATGGCTTCCTGGTGATTCTCTTAAACCTTATGGTTTGTTGAAATTCTGATTGATTCATGAATTCTATGTTACTGTTAAAATGTTTTAGGAGAGGATTCTATTCATAGAAGCTTGTTTGTATTATTATTCTGATTTGGACCACATTTTATGATTATTACTTTCTCCATTGCCGATTTATATATATGTATTGACTATTGACTGGTCAATGCAGTGAATCATGGGATTATGTTTTTCTGCTTATGCTGGTTTAAATTTTATGAAGTGCTTTACTCTATTTGAAAAAGGGTTTTAGCTTCTTTATTCACAAATTCTTGGGAGTATTTTATGTTGTGGAACTGGAACATGAAATTTTAGGTGGAGAGGACCTCATGTCAAAACAAACATGTTGACTTCTGTTGAAACGGTACTGGTCTGGAGGCAAATGCAAGTCGTTATTATCCATGGATTTGTGTATTTAAGCATATATTTTTCAAAATAACTTTATTCACTTTGATTTTTGCTTCTTGATTGACAAATTCTTGGACTAGTGTATGTTGTGGAACATGGTGTTCTAGTGTGGAGAATCTCATATTGTCAAAAGAAAAAGAAACTTCATCCATCAATGATGTTTGTGTCCTATTCTGCTGTTAATTAATTGATTGCAGACTCGTGTGAATCACAGTAGCTTTTAATTCTATGACAGGATAAAAATGCTGACTCTCCATGCCCTCGAGGATTTGTTTCTGAAACCTGGTACTGGTATATTTTCACAAAATAATTTACAATTTTTTAATATTATATATCCAATAGAAATTGTTTGTTGCTGGGGGGAACTTGTATATCATTGTGTTATTTCTAACAGTACAACAGATGTGAGTGAGCAACTATGTCATGGGGAGAACATAGTAAAAAATTTCTCTCATACAGCTGGAACAGAAGAACCAAGTCACAGTTGTCTGATTTACAAGGAAGACCAACATCTACATAAGGATTACTTACGAGTCTCTATCAAAGTTGATTCCAGAGATTCCTCTGCTGCTGTCACAACTGCTGCTCAGGTACTGGAGAACTCCCAGCCGTTGGTAAGAGAGACCATTCAAAACGTTTCATGCTATGACTTGATGAAAACTGGGGAACACCAACCTCAGTTTGACCTGCCTGTTAACTCTGCAGGTATGATATTTAGCTCAGCCTTAAACATGTAAATGATGAATCTGAATGTTTTGTTCTGTAATCATGAAGTAGTTTTTCTGTTATATAATTTTCTTGCAAACTTCAACATGCATTTTTCCATTTTATTTAGAGTTCATAATTCATATAGGATTTTCATGTGGTACAGAAGAGCACAGCGTTGATTTGAACTTGGGTACTGATAAGCATCCCCTTCATTTGAGGCTGAGAACTCTTGGGGCCAAATTGGAATCTGCAAGTAGTAGTTCTGCCATTGCCGAAGATCAAGTTCCTGAACTGGAATTTTTGAACTCTAGAAATACACAGGTACGGAAGGATACCTTTACACATCTCTATGACTTCAAAGTTGATATTTTTATATTTTAGAAACAGCAATGTCATGAATCCTTGCAACCATATTTCCAAATAGGAAGAATTAACCGAAGTTAGAAATAATGATTAAGTAGTTAACTGAAGACTAACTGGACAAGACATTACTCCTTTTCCCCTAATTGGAAATATGAATGTTTTAATTTATCCCTAATTGGAAATTTGTGTACCAACTACCAAGACTCCCTTTACTGGGCTATCTTTTAAAATGTCTTATACATAGACTTTACTTCACGAATGAAGTATTTCTCATCCTTTTTCTGCTTTTTGCATGAGTTTGTGAATATCAGCAACTGTGAAGTTCATGTTATATGTTGCTTTTTCAAGATGATAATGTTGCCCATTACTGATATCTGGTTCTCCTTGCCTTGAACATCCAGATTTCAGAAGGAAAAGCTATAGATGGTGTTTGCTCAAGTTGTACTAAACCTCAATTGGCAGGTTTAATGATGTCTGAAGAAAGAATGAATCTTCAACATACAAAAACTAATCGACCAAAACCCATGCCAAAGATTTCTCTTTCTCTGGGTTTGTCCTTACCTATGGAGCTCAAGACTGGAGGCACTGATTCCATTGATAGTTTTTCAGCATTACCTCTGTCAAATTCAACCGCCAGAGATATTGTCCAAGATGGATTATGCCAGTCTTCAAACAGGAAACCATTCCTTCCCAGGCACCAGGTAGTGCTTGACAACTTTGTACGCAGAACTAGAATTTTAAATGAAAGAGGAAAGTTTCAAGAAAATTTGAAGCCACACCCTATCATGTGGTCTGAAGAGGAGTTGGATTATCTCTGGATTGGCGTGAGGCGACACGGTAGGGGCAATTGGGATGCTATGCTAAGGGATCAAAGATTGCGGTTTTCTCCATTAAGGGTACCAGGGGACCTTGCTGAGAGGTGGGAAGATGAACAATTAAAACTTCTGAATGACATTGGTGTTCCACAGTTCATGTATCCACCAGCAGCAGCAGCATCATTGCAAGGAAACTTTTGCTACTTAGACCCGAAATCAAGTTTGAAGAAATCTCTTGCCAGGTTTAATTTTCAAATAAACAACACCATTGCAGGCAGGCACAGACCAACTGTTCATTCCAGGAGAGCCTCTTACAACAACAATATAGATAAATATGAAATGGGATTTTTCAATTCTTCAGGAAGCTTGAGTATTTCTGGTGAAAACTCTTATTCTAACGATTATGCCTTTAATTATTCGGCTTCTAAGAATAATTTGCCTCACTGGCTTAGAGAAGCAGTTATTACTCCTCCTTCAAAGTCTTTTGAGCCAACTATGTCTTCAGCTGTTTCATTGAATTCTCATCCACAGATGCCAGGAACTGCTGAACATTGCCTTAATGCTGGTAAGTCATGCTTTGTGCCTCAAAATTTGTTCAATGGTTTGAGGACAAATGAACTACACATGTCAAATGGTTCTCACTACTCGACCTATTCAAGAAGGAAATATGGGGTGGTGAAGATGAACAAGTCTATTGAGCATCATGTTCGTAAACCAGATGATTTGATCATTATTGATAGTGGCACATCTTCTGAAGAGACTATATCTGATGATCACCGTGCCAACTTGTAAATCTTAAAAATGTATTTGCTGTTTTATTAACTGTTGTAAGCTGTAGAAAGGTTACATGTTGCATGGTTTTGTAGGTTAGAAATCTATAAACGTAGGAGATGATGTGACCTTGTGCTAAATGAATGTTGATTTTATATTTTCACTGAATTTTTTAGGGATATTAAATCCTTGTCATTTATTGAAGAAAACAAAAAAATGATGAAATGCGCGATTTTATTATTATGTTTATGTTGAGAAAAAACAAAAGAAGGTTGATGTGAATATAATCTATCTGTCTATTTATAAACTCTGAAGTGCAAAATATAATGATGTCATGTTAATAACTTTGTGCTCTACTCAATTGTCACATCAGCAATTTGTGAACATTTTCCACCTTTAGTTGATTATCCTCTCATATTCTGTAACAATCTGTGAGTTATGTAACTCATTTATAAGTAGAAACACCATTATATCTATCATTTTTCTTTCTAAATTAGTTTGTAACTAGTTGTCATTATGGGGTAAATTTTAGATTGATATTCTTTGGAGAAATTAGAATAAATTCCTTTATCCTTAGCCATCTTTCGGTTACATGTTAATTGTTACATGATACGAGTCCATCATCCACGTGCTGAAAATGAAACACAAATCATAATTAACAAAGAATATGGTATAAATCTGATAACTTAAAAGGAAGTGGATTCTGTTTGTAGAATTCGGATTCTCAGTTTTACTTATGCTGTGCTTGAATGATTTTTCATCATTTGGTGACTCATTATCATGGTTGATAAGTAAGGAACTTTGTATCTTTTTCAATGCATCTAATTCCGCGGAAACACCTTTCATTTTTTGTCATTTTCTTCCCCATTAAGTCTCAAGCATCTCATTGTAAGATTCCTATGATAAGAATGTCACTTTTCGTTGCTTCTTTAATCACTATAAGTTTAACACACACGCATGGGAAAAGAGAGAGGAGGAAGAGTTATTTAACTTATATAATATTTCATTCAACTAGACAGATACAAATTGATACATTGTATTGCTCATCTATTTATAGACCATGCTTTTCTAATATTTAATGTATCCTAACATTATTCTTAATAAGAAAAATTATTTTTTATTTCTTAATTAACATTTTAAGTAAGACACATGATAATATAAAATATTTTTTTTAACTTGTAAAATATTGTGATAATAATAATAATAATTCATACGCAATAAAATTGTAGAATTCAAAACTCAATACATTAATATGATTAAATTTTTTATTAATTTCCTGTCTTCTACGATATTACACGTATTAAATATAAAATACTATAACAACTCCGTCAAGCAATTTGCAAACTATTGCTTCGTAAAATTTGACCGTGTAGTGCAGCTTGCTGACCAATTCGGAATCATAACTTTTCAATTTTATGTACTGAACAATTTCTTCATAACAACGAAAAAACAATTGCTCCACGCATAATAAGCAGTGCCCAAAAATACTGCTATTACTATATGTACCTGTAATAATTGTTTCACAGCTTAATTTTCTTATCTCACAACACCACATTCCAAAAGGTTAGGAAGACAAGTAATTATTGTAGATTAGTCCTAATATAATACGAATCAAAATCATAAAAGTAAACACGTCCCGAACAAAGTAAACGATAAATACTTTAGATTTTTTCCACTGGGTCGTAAATGAAAAATGCATAATTCACTAAATTCACTTCGACTCTATTAGAACATTTATAACATTCTTGGATTTGCAAAAATTGTTTTAATTCAAAAAATAATTATATATACTTCTGATTTGCTCCTTCAGCTGGTGATTACTTTGATAGGCTAAACAGAATTCATCTTTACCCAAAAGGGTTATGTAAGGTCGAAATAATCTATATGTTAAATAGTACTAAGCTGTTATTGTTCTTCTTCCAAAGTCAATCGATCCAAATTTGATTTGATGGTAAGGCTAGTACATCACCCTCTTCCACTAAACATGTGCCAAATGTCTCACTGATTCAACCTATTCAGTAAAAAAAATAAGATGGTGAAAAAGCAAAATCTGTGCAGCAAGAACTTGATGTCCGCAAACAGATTTGATCATTATTGATAGTGACGCATATTATGATGTTAGCATACCTGATTATCATAATAGTGCCAGCTGGTAACTATAAAAAAATGTTGATGTTGTTGTAGCTGATAACCCACTTCCATAGCAGTTGTGCGCTGTCAAAAGGTTGTCCGTGAATTTTGCATGGTTTTGTTTGATTAGCAATTTGTAAATATGGGAAATAATGTGACCCCATGTTAAGTGAATGTGGATCTTAAATTTCAACTGAATTTTTCAGCGTTGAAAAATGTTTGAGGAGTAAAAAGAACAAATTTTTTAACATAGCCTTTTTTAATATATTCTTTATTGTTAATTAAGTATAAGTAAGACTAATTAAATTTAAAATGAGACTCACATAAACTTTAATTAATAATTAAAAGTATGTTGTTAGTATTTTTTTAAAACTGTTGTAAGCCAATTATAAACTAATGATTTTGTGGAGAAATTCAAATATTGTCATTTCTCTTTAGCCATCTTAGGGGATACACTTTTATCCATATACTGAATAGTGAATGAAACACAGAAAAACTTACAAAGAAATGAAGAATCAGGTATCAATATGGCCTCCTAGAGAGATATGGACTCTAGTTGCAAGGACAGTGACATGCTTTCCTCTGTACATTCTTGAACTATGTCACTAGGACTGTGCTCAAATGATTTTCCGTCATTTGTTGACTTATGATCATGGTTGATCTGCAAGGAACTTTGTACCTTTCTCAGTGCTTCTAATTCTGTTGAAACCTCTTTCATTGTTGGTCTTTTCTTCCCATTAAGTTTCAGGCATCTCATGGCAAGATTTGCAATGGCAAGAATGTCATCTTTCCTTGCTTCCTTAACCACTTTTGCATCTAAAATTTGAGAAAGTTGACTCTCCTTCATCAAAGAAATGAATTGTGCAATCAGATTCTGACCCTCATCATCATCATATAAGAATGAAATGGGCTTTCTCCCAGTTATGAGTTCTACAAGCACAACTCCAAAACTATATACATCACTTTTATCTGTAAATTGACTAGACTGAAAATATTCAGGATCAATGTACCCAAAAGTTCCTCCTACAACTGTGGTTAAGTGAGTCTTATCTAATGGAACTGATCTTGATGTTCCAAAATCAGACACTTTAGCACTGTAGTTACTGTCCAAGAGTATGTTGGTGGGTTTGATGTCTCTATGGAAGATAGGAACTGAAGCTGCAAAATGCATATATGTCAATGCTCCAGCAACCTCACATGCTATTCTAAGGCGACATTCCCATGGAAGGGATGATTCATGGTCTTTACTATGTATATGATGGGAAAGTGTTCCGTTGGGAATAAATTCATAGACTAGTAATGGAGCTTCTGTCTCAAGACAACAACCCAAGAGTTTGACAATGTTCCTGTGGTTAATTTGAGATAAAATGACCACTTCATTGACAAAAGTCTCTATCTGGTTCCTTTCAATCTCTTTTGACTTTTTAATTGCAACTATGGTTCCATCTGGTAGCATTCCTTTGTACACTGTGCCATAGCCACCCTGACCAAGAAACCTACTCTTGTTGTAATTATCTGTTGCTCTTTGTAGCTCCTCTGCAGTGAAAAGCTTTGCCATTTCTCCTTTTCCATAATATGAGAACTTCTCTAGTAACAAGTAGCCACCATTTTGCCTGAACAGTTTTTCCTTACAAATATTATGTCTCTTTTTCTGTATGCATTGATATAACTTGTACCCCAAAAGAAACAAACATAGAAAGCCTGCACCAATGCCCACTCCTGCAAATACAAAGTTTTTTTTTTTTTCAAATTCAGATGGAAGATAGACTTGCAAGAAACATCCTTTTGTTCTGTAGAAATTAGCAAATAACAAGTTCAAAGTACTCTAGTTATTTAAGTGAAAATTAAATGTTGTCATGGTGTCATCACTGATCATTCATTCTACTCTATGCCTCCTCTCAGCTAGGGGAATCCATAACAACAACCAAACATTATCTCAATAGGTGAATCATTTACAAAGGATATGTTATTCCAAAAAGTGAAAACCAAAATTTCAATAAAACTAATTTTTAATTCTACTTAAGAGAGTTCAGACAAAAATACCTAATGCAGCAACCAATTTGGCAGGGAATTTTTTACCATCAGATTGATCACAGAAGAGCCCCTTGGAGCTTCCATCTGCATTGAAACATTTACAATAGAATTTATCTGGGTTCTCTTTGCAACTCTTCCCTATTAGAGGCACTAAAATAGGTGTCAAGGCAAGGATGTCAATGCTGCTGTTTGCATTTTGTGGTACTGACAATTCATTGGCCTCAAGCAAACTTTGTTCATCAACACCATAAGCCTCTCCTATGGACTTAACTGTGTCACCATAATTCACCAAGTGAACCAACAAAGAGGTAACCCCTCTTCCTGCCTGGTTTGCTGTGGGACAAGCACATAGGATTGGAACTGTGAGCTCAGCACCAATCGAAATGTTGATAGGGGCATAGTAATTCTGACCCGTCATTGCCTGGCATGTGGTGAGGCCTTGGAAAGTTTCTTTGACCAACTCATAGTATGTGTCATTCTTGATGGCAGTGTAAGGTGTGTTATGCTGATAGATGTTTCCAGAACATGAACAAAAGACAGGAACAATGATTGATTTATTGGAAGGAATCTTGTTATCTCTTGAGATGTTGTTGATTGAGGCTATGGTAGATGCTTCAGAGCCAAGAAGGTAGGCAATGCTTACAGGGTTATCATAGGGAGGCTTTGACCTGAAAACTAAAAAGGAAGTGCATGATTTTTGAAGGCCATTGCAAAGGTATCCTTTAGATGCAGAAGGGTTCACAGAGCAATCATAGACAGTGCCATTGAGATACACTTGTTGACTATTGAATGAGTGAGGAAAGATACATAATAGGAGCAGGATTGTGTTGAGAATGATGAGTTTGTGAAGCTCCATGAACAAGTTTCAAGAGGAGACAACAAAGGAGTTGCATACACTTTTTTTCAACGTTTAAAAGGTAGCAATAGCATGATTCTTGTCACGCGGTTTTGCATGTTTTATCCTTTGTCTTGGTATGCCGAATATTCAGCATGAGAGGATTTGGCACATGATTTTCAAATATGGATGGCAAGGACAGTTATTCATATTGTAATGTCTACAGCAAAAATTTTGGTTATTGATTACGTGAGAGACTATACTCTATTAGGCCCAATCATGAATCAACAAAATGTTAAATTTTATCAAACTTTGAATGAGAATAGTAATTTCCATCCCAACACATTATTTAACACATTTTTAAAATTTATTAAAAATAAAAAATGTTTAAAAAAGTATCTTGCTTGCATTACCAGTGTAACCAGCAAGGCTATGGAAAAGACACTTGCCACAAGTCATATAGTCCAAAGGGCTTTGTGAGGGTGAGGCTGATAGTCATAGACATTCCCTAGTTTGACCCGTTCCCTTGTGTGATTTAAAACGATATTTCGTTTTTGGTTTCGAGTTATTTTTTAATTAAAATATCTTATGTCAATTAGAAATATAATTAAACGTTTTTGTATAAGACATGAACATTTTTTTTCATGAATTAATTTTTAAAAATGAGTTAGGCTTAAGCTTTTAACAGAGATCACAGTTATGTACTTCGCTTTGTGATCGATTTGTAAACATCGAAGAAAAAATAACTTGAATGATGGTACCAAAGTGGAAGAAGAAAAAAAAAGAACTGTTCTTCGTTTTTATTCAATAATAAGAACTTGAGCCAATATAAAAACACTATTGACTCGCACGAATTGGTCACGTTTGGCGTAAAATGAATTATTTCCATTTCTTAAATATAGACTATGATTTGAATCAGATTCATTTTTCTTTTTAAAATTTTATCCGTTTAATTCTTTCAACATCTCTTATATTTTTTTTGTATAATTTTTTTACCAATCTCATATTTTTTTTTTATTTTCTTTTAGATTCTCAGAATAATTTGTTAGTTAGAAAAATAAAAAAGAATCACGACTTTGAATTGTACTAAGTCTGAAATGAAGCTAATTTATTTTTTTTTCTCTCGTAATTATCCACTGTTATACGTGAAATAATATATCTTATTTGTTTGGGTGCTTTTTTTTTTAATATTTCTTTATAAACATCATTGACTTAATTTAATATAGACACAATTTTGACTATTGAAAATTTTGAAAGAATTGATAAGTTTAAAACAAAGTTGTATTATAACAATTTTAATCATTAGACGAGAAAATAAATAAGAAAAAGGAGAAGATGATTCGGACTCCATTTTAGCCGATGTGACAAATCTTCATTAAATAATAATAATAATAATAATAATAATAATAATAATAATAATAATAATAATAATAATCTTTTCTCAAATGATAAATATTTAATTTCTTTTAAGGTGCGTTTAGTAAAAAAGAATGTTTTAATATTCTTAAAAAAAAAGTGACATGAGAATAAAAAATTCTCATAACTAAAGAGAAATAAAATATTTCCAAGCCATGTTAATTTATGAATAAGTAGAATAATTTTTTTTCGCCTTCCTAGGTGAAAATAAACCCTCTTGATAATAATTGTCAATAAAGTTATGCTTTTACTAATTAATGTTCTTAGGATGTTAGTTAATTCATTAAGAAACAGAAAATTTCTTTTAAAAATTAGGTTTGAAATTATAATAAAAGTGTATCAATAATATTTTTAATAACTTTTTTTGCTTTACATTTTGTAACCAATATCCTTAATGCATTGATTGGCATTTATCATAATGTTATAATTTTTTTTATGATAATTGATTGTAAACAAAATTTTCTAAAGACAATTAATTGATAATTGCTTCACTATACTATGTCAAGAAAAATTGTATCATTTTCGTACAATCGAACATTGCAATTGATACAATTGTTTTTTTATCTTTATATAAATTGATTTTTATAACATAATAATAGTATAAGAACAACATCACAATCAAATAAGATAGATATGAATCTTCTCTGTCAAATAAGACAGAAATTTGCATAATCAGATGGATCCATGGTAATTATTTTATGTAATTGCAATCTGCAAGGATCAAAATATTGTAGAAAGAGCTTGGTTGATAAATTCAATGTTCATGTTCACGGGCTAATTAAGGTCTCAAATCAAGTCACGTCCTGTCCCAATCTTGTTGCCTTATTCTTCACAAGAAACCAAATGTGATAAAAACAAATGCATGCCTTTGACAAAATAGGAAACTATTTAGCAGAACCTACTTGAATTAGGGCTGTTTTTTTCTCTAAAAATATATGATATTTTGATTTTATGTTCTACATTTTTAAAAATTATTTTGTTTTCTAATGATTATTAAATGATAATATAGCTTACTTAAATATTAGCACGTCTCAATTTTTACACTAATAATTATTTTTTTGTGAATTATATCAATGAAACACAAAATCAATCATTTTTAAAATATAAAAAAACTATAAAAACTAAAATCAAAATATTTAAGCTATTATCTTTTTAATATAATTTTTAATAAAAGTTATCTACAAATTTTTTAATCTAAATTGTAAGTTGACGAGAAAAATTATGTGTTTTGGCTTAAATCAAATAAATTACAAATAGAATTTTTTTTATTAATAATGTTATTTTAACACTTGATTTGATTGTTTATTTTTTACGCTTTATATAATATACGATAATTATTTTTTTAATTTATATAAAGTGTATGGTATAAACCTAAATTGATTGTTAAAATAACATATGATTAATGACTGGATTAACTTGGGCCTAACTCGGCCTGTTCCCTTTAAACCGTTTTCTGACAAAAATTAAATATATAATTTTTTTACCAAAAAAAAGAGAAAGAAATAGTTTTAAGAAAATTTAGAGCCAAATTAATTTTCTTTTTTTGCTAATAAAGGGGCAAGAAGCCCAAAAAAAGATACTCAGAGGACATATGAAGATTATAAAGAAGAAGAACAAAGATAATTTATAATAATAATTTCTCTGCTATAAAAATTGAAGCCAATAATTTTTAATATTAAATAAAAAAGTTATATATTACATTAAATGATCCATTGGAAGAGATAAAAATAAAGATATTTCATAGTAAATGTGTTAAAATATAACAACATTGTGAATTGAAATTAATAAAATATTATAAAGATATATGAAAAATTTATTTATCCATACACATTTTTTTTTTTCAAAAATATAAGTTTTTACTTGTTTTATTATCAGTGTATAAAAGAAAATTAAATTCAAATACCATACATGAGACAACTTATATTTCTTAATAAACTTTGATTTTAGTTATATAAATCTAATTTAGGTATACTTAGAGAGAAGCCTTGATAAAAAAAATAATATAAAAATAATATAAAAATAATAAAACTTTTTTCATAAATTAGAAATGACTTATAATTTGTTAATTTTTGAAAATTCTCATTCAACTTCTCTAAAATTTGCAAGATACAATTTTTTTCACTTGTGACATTTTTTTTAATTTATTTTTATATTATTTTTTTAAATTAGTCCTAAGTGGCATAGAAAATAATTCTACTTTGAAAACTACGTGAATGGTTTTTATATTCTAGCTTATTCTATTTTTGTTTTTATCTGCGGAAAGCAATATTAAATATATTATATCTAATAGGAAATACATTAAGTTGAATATAAAAACAATTAAATAGCTTACGAAGTAATTCAACTATATGAATGTGAATGAAGAGCGAATGGTATTTTTGTTTTCTTATCCGATGAGTAATCAATTCATAATCCGGAAGCAACATTAAATATGTTAATTTTTTTATAAGAAATAAATTATTTTAAACATAAAATATTATATTCGATAGCAATGTGACATCAAAATTTCTTCTGTCAATAACTTGCAAGAAATATTCCCAATTAAAAGTCTTTGCTGTGCAAGAGTGTTGGTGAAGACACCTGGCTTTAATGCATGCAATCAGTGAAATTAATCGACTAGTGATGCATTTCAAAGTTTTGTCCAAATCCTTCAGAATCACGCTTCCACAAACAGCTATGGCCATATGTGGCTAGATAGATATAGCCAAGACCCAGAAAATGAGAGCTCATACCAAATTACTTACAATCAATTATTTTATATTTGGGGTGTCCCATGAAGGAGTTAAGAATTTTATGGCCATTAGAACAATAATTCTAACCAGACCTATACAATTCCACTTGGTGCCACTACAATTGGGCTCCTAACACTATGTTTTCCACCATCTTCAATCCAAACAAGATCCCCATATGAGATATTTTCTTTCCGGTACTTGGCATACTTTATGATAACACTGTAGCTCAACCTCTCATTTTTATAACTGAATGGTAATATTTGAGGTGACACTGTCACCATAGAGCCCTTGGGTTGTGTTACCTTGGCTCTGTAAGTAGCAGCACCATTTCCAACATTGGTCACAGTCCTCTTAAACTCTTTGGAAACTGACCTTGTTTTGTTGTTGTAGAAAACAATAAATGAAGGGTAGTTAATGTCAAAAGATGGGTTTACACAGTCGTAAGAGTTTGTCCTTGTAATGGTTAAGATTTGTTTGGTGGTGTACTTCAAAGCACAAAGGAGATTAACATAGTCTTGTGGGGTGGCATCATATATCAAACCTGGATCAAGTGCTCTATTAGGATCAATTTCACCACCTCCCATTGCCAGAGGGGAGGCAGATTGAGGAAGGTACCCATTATCTCTAATTGGATTTTGTGTATTATCTATAGTACTAGCTGTGGTGACTAGTGCTGACCTTATAGCAGCAGCACTCCACTGAGGGTGTGCAGCCTTCAAAAGAGCAACAACACCAGAAGCATGAGGGCATGCCATGGATGTTCCAGAGAGAATATTGTAGTCACTTGGTAAGAACACATTGAGGCCAATTCTAGCTGCTGGTATATGAGGAGAGTAGGCAGCAAGAACATTAGTGCCAGGTGCCATTATGTCAGGCTTTAAGACCCAAGGATAGCTAGGTGAAGGACCTCTTGAAGAGTATGAGGCAACAGCTGGTGCTGGTTTTATTCCAATAAATGTTTGCTGAAATTTAATGCTAGCTGTTGGCTTGTTATTGCTTTTTGCATACTTGATCACAGATGGTGCATCTTGTGTACTGATTACAATACTCGGAGAGTCCATAAATCCTATTTCAAGGTATATAGGAGAGATAAACACTGCCCCTAACAAACTGGCTTTGGTAACACGCCTCCTTTGGTCATATATTGAGTAAGGGTCTGAATTTGAGTCACACACAATGATCCCTGCTGTGGCCGCTTGGGATAACAGCTTCACTGAGTTGCATGGTGATATAGTCTTATTGTAAACAAGTGGAAGATCTTTGACTATGGCATTTTCTGGAAATAAGGTCAATCCTATAATGGTTTGGCCATTTCCAAGAATTAGAGTGCCAAATGCACGGTCTATGGTGGCTGCAGCCACGGTCAGAAGCCAGGGGATTCCATTGTGCAAGCTACCAAGATTTGGACCATAGTTTCCTGCAGAAGAAGAAACCACAACCCCCTTTTCCATTGCTGAAAAAGAAGCTATTGCTATAGGGTCATTGTAAAGTGGAACACCATCAAAACCCATTGAGATGGAAATCACATCAACACCATCAGCAATAGCTTGGTCCATTCCAGCCAAGACATCAGAAGCTAGACGACCCTCTTCCCAAATCACCTTGTACATGGCAAGCATAGCTCTAGGTGCAATGCCTCTGGCTACCCCTTTGGCATAGCCAAAGAAAGAGGCACCATTAACATAGTTTCCTGCCACTGTTGATGAGGTATGAGTACCATGACCATTTATGTCTCTAGCTGAGTTCATGCTGATTCTAACTTGGGAATTTGCAGCAATCACACCCTTGTTGAAATATCTAGCTCCAATCAATTTGAAGTTACACATGGAAGTGTTAAAGTTTTGTCCTTCCTCACATGTTCCTTTCCATTTGTTTGGGATGTTCTTGGTCATGCCATCATCTTTGAAGCTTTCACTCTCAGGCCACACACCAGAGTCAATAACACCCACAATCACACCCTCCCCTAAATTTGAAGCATGCCAAAGGCCACTTGAAGTGTTTAGGGAGAGAAATTCAAAGGTGTGAGTGGTGTCCATGGTGGCAGTTCTGTCTTCATATGCTGCAACAAAGCCATGAGAATTCTTAAGAGCTTCTAACTCATCTAAAGATAACATTGCACTAAAGCCATACATGGCATGGTTATAGGAGTATAGTAGTTTCTGATGTTGCTTGGATGGTTGATCAAGTGTTGTTTTTATGGAATGAATGGTGGATTCAAACCAATCATGATGAGTTTTGAAGACTTGAGGAAAGAGGGATTTGTCCATGTGAACTATGTATGAGGAACTCTCAACATTGCCATGAAGAACCAACAGAAACAATGGAGTAAATAGGAACATGAATGAAAGTGAAAACACAAAATTAGACTTTGGCTCCATTGATTTATGCAGATGGCAATGAAAAATTGTCTTTCAAATAGGATGGATACATGCATATATAAGAAAGTTCAATTTGTATAACATCAATGATGTTGACATAGACAATTATTTGCAAATGTGAGGATAATATTACTCACCAAATCGTGGACAGAAATTTTTCTTGCAGAAAAATTTAATAGTGCTATAATTGATAAGAAAATGCGCTTTTTATTGATTCTACGTAATAAACATCACGTAAGACTTGTGCATTGCACCAATCAGATACGAATGCTTATGGCATAGCAAGGACAAGTCAAGCAAGATTTCATTATATACACTGTAATGTGGATACATGGAAATATTATCAAAATTTAAGAGTCAAGGTGAGAGAATCAATTGTAATAACTGAAACATTTTTTTTATATTTCTTTTTTAACATCTTAGATGAATTTTATCTACATCTCGTTGAATAACTTAGGTCTACTCCGTATTTGATAAGAATTGTATGAAATTCATCTAGTAATTAAAAAATATATTAAAAGATGTAATTACTAAAACTTCTTCTGAATTTATTATACATTTATGGGGGTAAAATACTTCTATTAAATTAAACTCGTCTCCAAAGTAAACAAATAGAAATGTATTCACTTCTTATTTAATAGGAAGCCATAAAAATGCTGTTTTTTTTTTTTCAAAATGAGTAAATACATTTTTATCTTTTACTAAAAATAAATTAACATTATTTTTTTCATCACCACTTATATTATTTTAAAATGAAAAAGAAGTAAATAGTTCTTTTTCTACTAAAAGTTATTAAAAGATGTAATAATTTAAGTTTATTAGTGTAACAATCATATATATCCATACATGCATGTATTTTTTTTAAAAAAAGCCCTAAAATAAAAAGAAAAAGGGCACCTAAAAATATTTCTCCATGATACACAAACATCATTTTCCGTATTTTAATATACAGAACAAAGGCAGAATTGGCACTGACAAAATTGTGAAATGACAAAAGTTGCTGTTAATTTTATGTTTTGGTGGTGCAAACAAGTCACAGAAAAAGCTGCTAAGCGTTGAAATTTGGAAACCGAAATCTGTATCCGTATCCGTGTTTTGATGCTTACGAGTTGATCTTGCTCGTTAATTTTATGGATATTTTTGAAGCTGTCGGTGGCAACACAAAACCAGTAGGTCAATTTGATTCCTTGCTCAGTTATTCTTCTTTGTACAGGTCTTCTTTTGGAGATTATCTCTATATTTATATCATTATATCTAATTTGCAGGTAGATGAATCTACTCAAAATCCGCGAAATGTAATATAATCCACTGGAATCTCAGCATTGAACAAATCCACAGATTAGGATTTTCCTTTCTGGAAATAGAAAACAAATTGATGCAGAAAAGCAACATTTGTGTATCTACCAATTCACAATCTGTTTGTTTCTGCGTTATAGACTCCATGTAACTCCATTTCATCAATTACGAACTGCGATTGAATGCTATACGTCTTTAGTCACAATTTTTACGTTTGATTCACGCACATTAACTTGGATTTTTCTAAAGGAAACATATTCTAAGAGTATTGATACGTTATTTTTATAATTTGAAGAGTTTGAGCACTCTTTATTAATTAAATATTATAATTTTTAATAAATTTTTATTCTATACTTTTATATATTCTAAAAAAATAATTATATTTTAAATAATATTAATAAAAATAACATCAATAAACATAATAACCCCCAAAAATATAAATTGGTAGAAAAAAAATTATTCTTACGGAGAAATACAATTTTTTATCTATAGATATTTTAGATTAAAACTTGCACTCGCACGCTATAGTAAAAGTAATTAAAAATATAAAAATAATGTAATTACTAAAAACACGTGTTGAAATACAGTGGCTCCTTTATTTATATGAAAAAAAATTTAAAATATTAAAATATAGAATTTTGAAACAAATACAAAAATATTAGAAAAATTCAGAAAATATCAATAATGAGTTTTCATACTTTAAAAAAATATTATTGCATTTTTAAAAACTGTCATAGACAATTTTTTTGTTTTTAAGTTTTTTTTTATATTTTTCAAATATTATTGACGAGTTTTAATTTTTTAATATTTTTAAAAAATCACTATTAATAATTTTTAGTATTTTATAAATTTTAGTTGTTCTGTATCTCTAAATCACTTTATATATATATATATATATATATATATATATATATATATTAAAAGCATTATATTTTGATATATTATTTTTAGATATCATATATAAAAAATATCTGAAATCTAGTTAAGAAATTGTATTTTTTTATGTAAAATTCGATAATAGGTATCAAAATCTTTAATTTTAAAAGGTAACAAAAAAATCTAAATTAAACTAAATGTAGAATTATACTTTATTATGCTTTATTAATTCTATATTATGCTAATTATTACCTTATTACTGTTAAGGTGAGATTATTGTATTTTCCTCCTAACTTATAACAATTTATTAAAAAAAAACATTTATTGACAATGTTATATCAAATTAACACTTATTAGGATAATCTCAATTCCTTTATGTTTATTCACATACATGAATTATGATTTTTCAAAAAAAAATTATTTCAAGAGTATTAATATGATATTTTTATAATTTGAAGAGTTTAAGTGTTCTTTATGTATAATTAAATAAATTAATAATATTAAACATTATAATTTTTTAAAATATTTATTACATTTTATTTTATACTTTATTGAAACTATATTATGTTAATTAATACCTTATTACTTTTGATAAAAATGTGAGACTATTGTATTATTTGTTTAATTATAATAATGTATATATTATGATATTCATAAATTTGAAAGATCATTATATATATATTTTAATCAATGGTTAAAAGTTCTCTAATACTTTGAAAATTAAAATATATTTATATTTTTTAAATAAATCATTAATTTTATTACTTATTAATGTAAAATTAATTATAGTAATTATTTTATGTGGAAGAGAGTATAGAATATTTCTTTAATTTATAAAACATCATAAAAATTATCTTATAATAAATCATTAAAAAATATTTAATTGGTAATGTTATATTAAATTAATATTTTTTAGCCATGTTCTAACCTCATCCATTCAATAGAATTAAAATTTATTATTTCTTTCAGTAAAACTTAATTTGAGGTGCCTTCAAAAGTGTCCAATGAGGTTGAACATCATCTATCAGGTTTCTAAATAAACACTAAATTTATAAATATAATAATAAATTTAACTTTAATACACTATTAGTATAATTTTCAAAAAAAAATTAAGTAATTAAAAAACATGATAAATATTACTTTTAAAAAAAATCTAAAGCGAGTTTGTTTATAAAATAAAAAAGTAAGAAATTATTTACTCTCAAATCTCTATATATTAGTATCATTATGTATTTTAAATTATATTAATAATAAATTATTATTTTTCAGTTTACAAACAAAATTGATTTAGAAGAGTCTTATTCAAGATGTAAATTAGTTATTACAAAAATTAATATTTTTTTAGTAATACAATAATTCATAATTAAATGAGAATATAAAAATTATGCTGTATTCTACTCTATAAATACATTCTAATTAAATAGTAAAAGTATAATACCAAAGTAAAGAGAGCTATTGCCAACAGAAAGCCCATAAAGGGAGGGTTGTTCTTAAAAGAAGACAACGATAAACAACTAATTAAGGAGAAAACCTTTGATTGAAAAGTACAGAAAATAAGCATATTAAACAAATTTGGATTTGTATTTGAGTTCCATGGTTGTTTTACTTAAATGGGAAGATACACATTTTCTCAGGAACATGATGTAACTCGATCTTTTACTATTTTATGATTAATGTTTTTTTTATTTTTTATTAATGTGGATTACTTATTTCACTGACTTTACATTAATATAATAGAGATGAACATCCATTCATATTAATAAGTTCTTTTTTTCTCTGAATTTGTGTTAATAAGTATAATATAATAATATTGTGTTATAAGAGAGAGAAATAAATAATAAAATTAAAGTAAATTATACCTTTTGAGAGAGAAGTTTAAATTGTATTCTATCTTTTATATTTTGAAAAATTATACCCATATTTTTAAAAAATGAGTACGTGCTGTAGTTTATTAGATTTTAAATTAATTTAATAGAACTAATTAATTTAAATTTAAATTATACCCAAATCGTTTGGCTTATTGATTTGATGCTGCTAAGGACAGCTTCAACAATATACACAGTGCATACTAATTAAATTAGTTGACAGTAAACAATTTTTTACACTAAGAATGTATTAAAATTAAGCTCTTAAATGTATATAAAATATTGTTATGAAAATATAAATTTTATGCGAATGATCGCTTTCAAAGTGAGCGAGAATATTAAAAAAAAAGGAAAAATATATAAGAAAAAATTATAAAAAATTATGAAAATTTTATTATAAAATAAATAATAAATATTTTAATATTAATTTAAAATTTATTTCACATAAATTTATGTAATTTAAAATTAATTTATTACTTAGCATGTTATATAATGGTAAATATATCAATTTGATAAAGTATAAACCAGGGATTGGATATTAAAACCATTGATTAACACCAAAATTGACATTTTCAGGCATGTGCACAGGGGTCACTTCACTACACTAATTAATTTTGATAAAGTTTGTGTGTGTCCACACAACAATATTGTATTATTGACCAAATAAAACGTTTAATGAAATCGTTTTTGACTTGTTCGTGCATAGACCGCAGCGTAAGCAATTGTATCTGATGGGTGCAATATAGCAATACAAAAGTCATACATGAGTTTTATTGCCTTATACCAACAGATATAACCGCCTATTTTCTTACTATTATAAAGCACTTTCTAAAGTAAGAAATTAATATCTGTTCGATTATTTTTCTTGTAATATCATCCTCAATTTCGCAAATAATTATAAGTCAATTTCATTGATGCTCTATAGACTTAAATTTCTTGTTTGAAAGCCAAATATTTTCATCGTCAACAGCATAAACAATTTATGGAACCAATGCCCAAG